GGAGGGGTGAGGCAGTGAGTGAGCGGGGTCCCAGGGTAGGGAACAGTATGCTCAGTGACACAGAGGCCTCTTGGGTTCCAGGGGTAAGGGAACGCTGAGTCTGGGGACGTGGTGTCCATTGGACTCACACCTGCACCCTGGGGAGGTGAGGCCGGGGACCTGGGGGCCTCACCGTGCACACACTCACTGCAGGACAACACCATCGACTTCCTGGAGTACGTGGCAGCCCTGAACCTCGTTCTGAGGGGCACCCTGGAGCACAAGCTCAGGTGGACCTTCAAGATCTACGACAGGGACCGCAATGGCTGCATCGACCGCCTGGAGCTGCTGGACATCGTGGAGGTCAGTGTCTGTCTGTGAGCCGCCGGCCCTCCACTCCTCCTTGCCAGGGCTCTGGCTGAAGGGGGCCTGCTCAGGAGAGAGCCAGCTGCACTGAACCGGGGGGGGGGGGGTTTCTCGGCTGCAGAGCGAGAATCTGTCTCACACGGAGAGAAAACAAATGCACGAGAGAACTACTGTGAGTCAAAATTCTCACTGCTGTGACAGTGTTCGGAGGGAGAGTTCGAAGCAGGAAGCCCTGGTTTGGCTCAGCGTGGTTTCACTGTCCCCGTCTCTTGTCCATCACCGTGGGCAGAAGAGCGTGGTGACTGGAGCGTGTGATGGGGGAAGCTGCTCCCGTCAGGACAGCCACGCTACTCCCATCAAAGACACCCTAGCTTCCATGATCTACAGCCCACCCAGGTTTCCTGTCCACCAGAGGGTTAAGTCATTCATTCTGCTGGAAGCCTTTTGATCTGGCTGGCTCTAGACACTACCTCACAGGCATACCTGGAGGCCTAACATTTTCTAGGCAGCTCTCAGTCTGTTCAAGGTGACAGAAACAACCGACTAACACTAAAGACAAGTCAACAAAGATCAAAATTGTTTCTATTTGTGAGATGGGAAGCATGTGTGATGTATATTTATTTCTTTAGGTTTTTTGAAATAGGGTGTCTCTTGTGTAACAAGCCCTGGCTGTCCTGGACTCACTTTGTAGACCAGGCTGGCCTCGAATTCATAGAGATCTGCCTACTGAGTACTGGGATTAAAGGCGTGGCCTTATTCTTTTTAAGCAATGTATAGTTTACTATCTTATTTGTATGAATGTCTTTCTTCCATGGACGGTGTGGTACCAGGGGGGTGCTGTGCCCTCAGGAGCCAGAGGAGGGGGTCCCACCCCTTAGAGCTGCAGAGACAGGCTTGTTAACCACCATGTAGGCACCGTCAGTCCAGCCCAGGTCCCCTAGAAAAGCAGCCGGTGTTCTTAACCCTGGACCATCTCTCCAGCCCCTCCATTTTTAATTAATTAGTTTTTAAGTAAGCAGTTAATTAGCTTTAATTAATTGGTGAAAGAAGGGTCTCTCATGCTAAAGTTCTTTGGTTCCACTAAACGGGCTGGTCTTTCCACATCCATCCTTAATGAAGGAAATGATGAGGCCGGGCGCAGTGGCACATGCTTTTAATCCCAGCACTTGGGAGGCAGAGGCAGGCAGATCTCTGGGAGTTCAAGGTCAGCCTGGTCAACAGAGTGAGCTCCAGGACAGCAAAGGCTACACAGAGAAACCCTTCCTCAAAACAAACAAACAAAAAACACTGTAGGTGTTTTTCCAGTTGAGGTTTCCTCTCCCATGACTCCAGCTAATGTAACCAGCATGTCTGGGCTATGTGTTGCCTGGGGGCCAGCGCTGGGAGGTGGCACTAAGGTTCACAGGCCCCTGAGGGTCTGTCAGAGGAACCCAGCTCTTTCTCTCTGGCAGGCAATTTACAAGCTGAAGAAAGCCTGCCGGGCAGAGCTAGACCTGGAGCATCAGGGTCAGCTGCTCACGCCTGAGGAGGTGGTGGACAGGATCTTCCTCCTGGTGGACGAGAATGGAGATGGTAAGAGGGAGGCGGCCTGTGGGGAAGCTGTCTGTGGGAGATGCCCCCCACCCCCCACGTCCCCACTACTGATATCCTTGTCTGTGAACTGGCTGGGAAGAGGATGGCATGCGATATCAAAGGGAGCCCAAAACACCTGGGCACACGTTGGTAGGGGGTTACAAGTCCTCTGAGAGTAGCTGGATGAAGGCTGAGCATAAAAAGAAAAAGAATTCTTTTTAATTTTACATATATGTTTTGCCTGCGTGTAAATCTGTTCAACATGTGCATGACATGCCCAAAGAGGCCAGAAAAGAGTGTCCAATCCCTGAAGTTGGAGTTACAGAAAATTGAGAGCCACGATGTGGATGCTGGGATTTGAACCTGGGTCCTCGCAAGAGCAGCCAGTGCTTTTAACCACTGAGCCATCTCTCCAGGCCCAAATGTATATATAATATTTAATATATTTATGAATACTTATATTTATATAATATTTAATCTGTTTATGTATTATATATTTATATATCTTTAAAGATAAAGAGGAACCAGAGATGTGGTCCTATGGATCCAGGCGCTTGTCACCAAGCCTGATGACCTGAATTCAGACCCTGGTACTCATGTGATTGAAGAGAGAACCAGCCCCTACAGGCTGTGCCCTAACCTTCACACTCACACTGTGGTGAGCGTGTATGCACACATACACAGAAAAATATGATGGTGATGATGATAGAAGGTGTGGGAAGCAGAGGAAGAGTTCTGTGAGTTCAAGGCCAGCCTGGTCTCCACAGTGAATGTCAGGCCAGCCTAGGCTACACAATGATACTCTAAGAAAGAAAGAGTGTCTCTTCTGAAGAGTGACAGCAGAGACTGTTGTCTGATTGGCTTGAGGATACACACACACACACACACACACACACACACACACATCTGTAAGTTGCAAGAGGCTTGCTCAGAAGAAGGGTCCTCACCTGTGCCCCTCCCCTTGTGACTGTCTCTCCCACCAGGCCAGCTGTCTCTGACTGAGTTCATTGAAGGTGCCCAGCGTGACAAGTGGGTGATGAAGATGCTACAGATGGATGTCAACCCTGGCAGCTGGATCACTCAGCAAAGGCGGAGAAGTGCCATGTTCTGAGGGCCCAGGGACCCTGCAGGAGCCCACACTCCCCTCCAAGACTCCTCCAGGGTCCCCCAGGTTTTCAAAGTAGCAGGAGGGGCCGCTGACCTGGATGGCTCAGGCCCACTCTGGCTTGGTGTGGACTTCCTGACATTCCCAGTGTGGGAGAGCCATGGCTGAGGAAGCCCCTTGGGGTTCAAGCCGTTCCTCAGGATTTAGGAGCATTGTAGGGGTATTCCTTCACCCTGCCCCTGGAAGAGGTGCAGGGTTCCCTCTAGTCTTTAGGTGTTCTCAGTGGAAATGGGGCGGCTGGGGGGTGGGGTGGAAAGCCAAGGCTGGTAGGAAGCAGTCTGAGAAGAAAGCAAGGGCTGAGAAAGTGTCACAGTGACACAGCCCCACATACCCTCCTCCTCCCCAGGGTGTCCTCACCAAGCGTGACAAAAGGGAAGGCCACAGCAGACAAGAAACTCTGTGCTCTCCTGCCCTTGGAGGCCTGAGGAGCTTATAGGGGACACTTCAGCCTGCTCATGTTGCTCACCCATCTCTGGTGTGAACCCGCCACTATTTCCAGCCATAGGCCCACAGTCCTCCTTAAGAATGGAGTCATCCTCTCTTCATCTCTGGGGAGAACCAGGCACCTGTGGATTTGGGTCCCAGGCTAGAGCGCCTAACCTCCTGCAGTCTCCATATTATCGTGTAAACGTCTTTCATGCACCCCAGTGTAGAAGCTAGGTTACCAGGGAACCTCTCTGGCTAGCCCTCTCTGTCCCTTTCCATCCGTGCAGCTGGGATGGCACCTCAGAGGACAGGAGATGGTACCCGGGTCACGGATAGACAGTGATTCCCTGTGGAGCCTGATCATTGATTTTTACCTGGAATAGATCTATTTTTATGTTAAAATAAAGTAAACTAACTTATTGGCCTGGAGGAGAAGTTTGTTTGCTTGTTTGAGGAAGGCTTCACACTGCAGCTCAGGCTAGCCTGGAGCTTACCGTATAGCCCAGGCTAGCCAGAACTCCCATATCAAGCTCCAGAGCCCTAAGATTATAAATATGAGCCCAAATGCCCAGGTTTTTATTGTAGCTTTTGCTCCTGGAGGAGAGGTTGCTCGCTTTCATTCTGTGGGGCAACTGAGACATTTTCGGAAATCCAAGTTGGCTTGAAACCCATGGCAATCCTCCTGCCTCAGCTCCCTGGGTTCTGGGATCACAGGTGTGCACCAGCTTGACCTTGAGGTGTTTTTTTGTTTTATTTTTATTTGATGGGTATGGGTGTTTTGCTTATATGTCTGTGCACCATTTGTGTGCATTGTCAACAGAAGCCAGAAGAGGGCACCCAGTCCCCTGGCACTGGAGTCACAGATGTTTGTGAGCTACCATTGAATGCTGGGAATCAAACCTAGGTCCTCTGCTCGAGCAGCCAGTGCTCTTACTGCTGAGCCATCTCTCAGCCCTTTGGGATTTTGTATAAGATGTTGCTATAGTTTCCTTTAGAAATCACTTAGATGAAAATGGTCTATATTAAATATGAATAGTATCCCAGGTAGGAAAAATATTTTTTTTTCCCCAAATCATGGAGGTGCATGAGGCAGGCTGGAGGATGCCTCATCTAACGATAACACATAGTAGGTGCTCAATAAAGGTTTGCCCTTCAACTGAAGCCACATGGACAGGCTCCAGGGGCAGGGCAGGGTGTGACTTCCTGAGGCTGTGGAAGGCAGCAGATGCCAGGATTCCATCAGAAACCCAAGGGTTCTCTCCAAGTTTCCCCATCCACAGGAGGTGACCTGGGGAAGTACAGCAGGGAAGCTGGGCAAGAAGACCTGAAGGGCAGGAGAGGGCGGAGGGATACCAGCAGGAAGTGCCAAGATCCTCTGAATCCCTCCGCATGGGTTAGGGACCATCCTTCTCCATGCTGGGTTCCCAACTCCCGCTACTGCCCCTCCGCCCTCACTACGCACCCAAAGAAACAAGCTGAGACCGAGTTCAGGAGGTTCTAGGTAGTGTTAAGACAAAGGAGAGAACAACCACACCCCAGGCACCGCACAGGGCCAGCCCTCGCCATGCAGAGGCCACAGGGCGAGGCTCAGCCCGCAGCCTCGGCTGCCTCGTCGCCTGCGCCTGCCTCGTCCTGTTCGCCGTTCTGGAGTCTGCGCACGATGCGGGTCAAGTCCAGGCTTCGGGTCAGCGTGTCCAAGAGCATCTGATCCTTCTGGACACCTTCCATGAACTCCTCCAGGGACAGTTCCCCTGGAACGGAGAGAAAGGGATTCGCGGGAGGAGGTCTCAGGAGTCCTGGGCTCAGGGCAGGAAGCTTGGAAGAGGGGGCGGTGGGGGGCAATGGTCAGGAATGCAGAACCCTCCCCTGGGGAACCCTCTCGGACCCCTCACCATCTCCGTTGATGTCGATCTTGGCAAACACGGTATCTGTGAATTCCTCGGCGCTCATGGATGAGTCGCTCCAGGGGTTAATGGTTCGGATGGTCTGGGAGGACGGACAGGCAGAAGTGAGGAGACCCATCTCAGTGGTGGGAGTGGGAACAGAGCGAGCTTGTCAGACCCCGAGCTCACGGTACCAGGGCCACAGGCACTTGGGACGCCGAGGCAGGACTGCCTCACATTGCAGGTCAGGATGGGCCAAGTAGTTGTGAGCCAGCCTAAGCTACAAAGTGAGATCTTGTGGTTGAAAGAAAGGGCGCGCGGTGTGTGTGTGTGTGTGTGTGTGTGTGTGTGTGTGTGTGTGTGTGTG